GGATCTCCACACGGGCCCTGGCACCCAATAGTGGGAAGAAGCACAAAAGCAGCCCTCAGGACCGCTCTCACTGTGCAACACATAGAAAAGATTTCTAGAAAGCCGTTGCAGTCCCTGGGGGCCAGTGAGGCCCTCTCTAGGGTTCTCCAGGTCACTCAATGTAAGCGTAGTCTGTATCCCTGGGAGAACAGCCTTAAATGCCAAGTCTTGCCCCTAAATGACTTTGCGTGGCTGCCACTCTGGCTCCAAGGGGCCACTGAGGTGGCCTTGGGCTCACAACACAAAGGGCCTTACGGCTGCTCTTGAATGGGTCCAAGGGTAAAACAGACATGAGACAGGGAAGCAGAGATCCTGTCCCGGGCTCCTCCCTCTGGCCAAAGCTCGGTACACCCACACCTTCCTTCACACCTCCCTCTTCCTTGTCACAGGCAATTCCTTCTCCTTGTGCCTGTCCTGTAGGGAGACAGTCTGTGCACCGCATGAACTTGGCAGTCTGAGTCCAGCTGGGTGACCGTGGGCTTAATCTCTCTGAGTCTCAGTATCCTCCTGTGTAACAAGAGAGCAATAAGAGTACCGAGCTGACAGGTCGCTGGGAGAATTCAGTGTGATGGCGTGGCAAAGAACTTGGCCCAGCCTAGTGTCAGTGCTCTTGAAATGATGATGGTTAGCTGCTTCTTGCAGCTGACTTTCCAAGAGCCTCCGGGAGACCACAGACCGTGGTTACACTCTCACCCTGACTCCAGTTGCACCTGACTAGGCACACACCCACAGGGGGTGCACAGGAGCTGGGGAAGGTGAGTGAGAGGGAGTCCCCTTGAATGGCCCCTTGACTCCAAGATTTGGGGGTTAAAACCTCGTGATTGTATAATTAAGATAAACATGTATACATTAAAGAGGAGAATGTAAAAGTTGCCTAACATTTAAAGATAAGACACAAGACTTCAGAGAAATTTCATGCTTGCTTTGGGCCATGCCCCTGGGGTGGAGCTAGGAAGTGTCCTCAGGCTCTTCTGTCCTCAGGGCCCTCGGGGATAGATGGAATCCACCCCACCAGGTTGGGGCCCAGGGAGCAAAGAGGAGGCCCTGGAGGGCATCAGCGATCTGCTGGTAAATTCTTCTCATTTTTCAAACTGTGAAAGTCTTCACTGTCTTTTTCAAAGTATTGAAATTTTAATAAAGAATACATTATCATTAAAAAAAAACTGCACAGGCGTGTGTGTGCGCGTGCATGCACACACACATGTACACACAGGAAAAATGCATGCGGGGGAAACCAAAATCCTGTTTCCTTTTCCCAGGGAGAAATGTGTCAATGATTTGGTGTTTGTCCAGCCAGTCTTCCTCCCGTTCATCCACACAAAGATGCACAAGCACACACACACACACAGTCACACGGACTCACACAGATAGACGCATTCAAAGACACACAAACACAACCACAGATGCAATTGCACAGACAGACACATGAGGTCACAGAAACACATAGTGTTGCGCAGATGCGGGCGCACAGATACGCGGATGCATGCATGCTCACACACAGTGGCACGCACAGAGGGACACGCAGCGCGCACACACACACACAGCGTACACAGATACACAGAGTCCTGCAGAACCCCAGGCACGGAGACACGTGCACACACGCCTTAGCACGGATACGCAAACATACCCGTGTGTACGTAGTTTTTAAACTACGGCATCAAACCATTCATGCTAATCCACAGCCTCTCTTTCCCGTACTGCGTATTTCAAAACATAGGAAATAATCTAAGAGACACCCATATACCACCACCCAGATACATGTTAACATTCTGAATATTTGCTTCAGACTCCTCTTTTAAAAATCAAATGAAGGGGCACCTGGGTGGCTTGGTCGTTGGGCGTCTGCCTTCGGCTCGGGTCATGATCCCAGGGTCTTGGGATCGAGCCCCGCATCGGGCTCCCTGCTCTGCAGGAAGCCTGCTTCTCTCTCTCCCACTCCCCCTGCTTGTGTTCCCTCCCTCGCTGTCTCTCTCTCTCTCTCTGTCAAATAAAATCTTTAAAAAAAAAAAATCAAATGAAATGATACAGACCGGTGGAAAGCCCTCCTTCTCTCCTCCCTTAATTGCTACCCAGAAGTTGCAACATTCCTGAGCACATTTTTATACTCTTTGCAACATACGAATGTATTTATAAACAATGATAACATTTGTGTTAGTTTGAAACTTTTGCATGAATGATATCCAAATGTGTATCTTCTTGCCTTTTGTTTTGCCACTCACTTCTGTCACAGTACTGGTGCCCTCCCTTGTCACTGCTTTGATCCACTCGGGGCCTCCGCCTCCTTCCCCACCCCCTCCCTCAGCCAGCTCTTCTGTGTCTTATAAGCCAAGGGCCCCAAGGGGCCTCTCTTGCTGGAATTGGGTCTTTGATGCATTTGCTGAAAACAGTGGTTTCTGACCACCTCGATGTCGATGTCGTGTCGATGTCGGAGGGAAGGAAAGACTCCTCCTCCCACCTCTCACCTCCCACTCCTACCTCCCACCAGGCTGCTTTTGGAAGAGGGCATTGCCTGGCACGTGTGTGCATGGATGATGTCCACTCTTTCCTCCTCCTTTCCACCTTTTCCTTCCTTCCTGTCCTCTCCTTTCTCCTTCCTCCTCTCCTCCTCCTTCCCCTCCTCTCCCCCCTCCTCCCTCTCCCAGCTCCTTCCTCCCCCTCCTCCCTCTCCCCAGCTCCTTCCTCCCCTTCCTCCCTCTCCCTGCTCCCTCCTTCCCTCCCTTTCTCCTCTCCCTCCCCTCCCTTCTCCTCTCCCTTCTTCCATCCTCCTTGCCTCTAGGCGATGCAAGCCTCTGGCTGAAAAGCTGGAAGGTCACCGAAGGAAGTGCAAAAAGAAAAGGCATCTTGATATATTTCAAAATACAATCTCCCTATGATGTTTTACAATTCTATTTTTACATTTAGGTCCCTAATCCTTTTCTAATTAACTTTTGCTTATAGTTTGAGGTCAGGATCTGAAACAGAAATTGTTGTTTAAAGATGGCTAGCCAGTCTTCCAGGTGAATCAGCTAGTAAAAATTTCATATTAGGATTTTGCTTGGAATTGGAGAGAATTGAGGCCTTCTTATTTTTGCTTTATTACACGAGGAATATGGGAACGCATGTAAGTTGTAAAAAAAAAATTAAAACATCTATTCTTTTAGTATTTAGAATTAATTACAAATTAATTACCCCCTTCCCTCCAGCAATCTCGTTTTCCTCCTAGGGAAACTCAGTTTGGTATGTGATAGGTTAAATTATTGATTCCAATTTTTTCCCTGCCCTTTAGTAGCTTTAGACATCCATACACTTGCTACAGCTTCATGCTTGGCAGAATGTACTTTTCTGCTCTCTGATACTGGGCTTCACCAAAGGGAAGTGAGCTGACGTGGCATGAGCAGAGACTTGAAATATATTCCCGTGGCAGAGCTTGCCTCTTGGAACTCCTGTCGTTGCAGTGGGAAGAAATGCTGATCCTCCAGGCTGAGCCCCAGAATGAGCCACGTGGGGCGGGGCTGCCTGAGTCACCACAGATGCATGAGAAATAAATGCCTTTTGTTGTATACCACTAAGATTTTTTTGTGATTGTCACACAGCAAAAGCTGACCGATACAAACTGTATCCTTGTATGTGTGTGTGCGCACTCCCAATCTAATTTGTGTGGGAATGTGTATAGAGTTTACTCTTGCACAACTTGAACAACATGGGCTTGAACTGCACACGTCCACGGACAGCAGATTTTTTTTTTTTTAAAGATTTTATTTATTTATTTGAGACAGAGAGAATGAGAGACAGAGAGCATGAGAGGGAGGAGGGTCAGAGGGAGAAGCAG